AAAAAAAAAAAAAAAAAAGAAGCAGGAAATCTTTGTGGAGCAAGAGTATATCTTGGAAAATAAAAGAAGACAGGTTAGAAAGATTGTTCCATGGTCATGTTCACCAAAAATTGCTCTTGTTTTGAGATATTTCCTCTTATTCCGTCATTAGAGGAAAATGGAAATCGCCTAGTCAAAGCATCTCCCTTTAAAATCTTCAGATACTTGAAAACGGTAATTATTTAAACTGTGTCTAGTTTGTTCACACTTGTGTCCACAGCACCTGGCATACGACAGGTGCATGATAAATATTTGTTCAAAGAATAAGTTCATGCTCTAAGCTTCTTCTTTCCTGGGGCCTTGGCAGGGATTGTAGAGCTTCCCTAGCCCACGCATGAAGCCAAATTTCAGAGTTCCAAAGCTTGCTTTCCAGACCGATTCTGTCTTAGACAAAGATTATGGAATTAGAATCACTCAGGCTCTGGGTAATGTTCCACAAAAATTAAGCCACACTTGGTCACATGTTTCTCTAAACATTTAGTGTCAACAACCATTCAGAAGTGTGTGACAGTAGCTTCCTCCCATACACATTAAACCTCCTTTCCAGAATACAGCGGATTGCGCAAAATACAATAAGTCTGTCAAATGCTCATCTGAGCATGCCACAGTTTAAAGTGATGGCAATGGTATGGGTTAGGATGATGTCATGGAAGATTTTAGGGTTCCCTCTCCCCAAATTTCTATTTAAAGTCTGATTTACGTCGAGCCTTTAGTTCTTGAGCTTTAGCTCAGATGCAATTGAGTTAGGAAGGATTCTGTCTTCTACTCACACAGTCTTTCTTTTAGTGATCATTCTTGTTCCGATTTAAAAAAAAAAATAACCTGGCCCTGAACTGGTATTTACTTGTTCTTCCACCAGCAGAGTATACCTGCCCCATTTCTCTCTCAAAGACTGGCCTCACCTTGCTTGGAACAAGAACCTTGAACCAAGAACCACGATCCATCTCTTATCTTCCGTCCTAGAATCTGGGGCACTTGGCCTTCCTCCTCTTGAATTGGTTGCTTCCTCTCCCTTAAAACCTCTGAGTCTTCACAAAGCCATTCCTCATCGTATTCTTCTCAGATTAGCTCCATCTCGCTTTCCCATCTCCCTTTTTACTTGCTCTACCCTGTTTCTTCCAAGCTCTAGGTGGCTGTCTGCTCATCTACACATTCTGCCACCCTTGTTTAGTGGATTTTAAACTCGAGAGCACAGCCTCGCAAAAAGAACAACTTCTACTTTGTTGGCAAATGTCATAGACGCAAGTTGAGAATTTGCAGAGTGAAATCACAGTCGAGTGGTGACTAACTCACACTCTGCAAGCCGCTTACTTGGCATGGCTTGTTCATAGGACCCTAAATTCACTTTGCATCCATCTCTAGCTCCTCTTCCCTTCTCCAGGCTGCTGCAAATTGTTTGTTTAACCTTTACTCAGGGCCCACACATAGAAAAGCACGTTGTTGTTTTGCTTCCAAATGCTTCTTGCTACTTTTCCTTTGAACTCTAATCCCATTAGGCTTTTTGCTGTGAAATTCTAGGTCTGGAAACTGCTATTAAAGTGTGACTGTCATGTCTGGGGACCAAGTAGGAAGTCTACACCCTTGGTGGCCCAGTGGTTAAGCGTTCACCTGCTAATCAAAAGGTCTCAGTTTGAATCCACCAGCTGCTCCTTCGAAGTCCTATGGGGCAGTTCTACTCTGTCCTAGAGGGTCACTGAGAGTTGGACTCAACTCGATGGCAATGGGGTTTTGGTTCTGAGAGCCATTTCAGACTAGAAACAAGTACTCCTGCTTTCCAGAACTCTTTGAAAACATCGAACATCTACCAACCAACCACTTCTCCATGCGCACTAACACAGCCTTTTCCAAATGAGTGTTTTATCTTTTGAATGACACTTTTCTTGGCTTTATGACCTTTAAGTAATTCTCTTGCTTTTAACTTCATTTAGCTCCAGTTAGTTTTGTTCCATGTGATTTAGCCCCCATTTTCATATAACTTTTGTATCTGTATACTTAAGACTCCTTGCACTATAATAAATTTTCTAAAACTATCTATGCATATCTATGTATTATCTATATAACATATTTAGATAAGGATCTTGACAAATAGCACCATTAAAACCATATCTTCTTCCTGCTTCCACCCTTCAGGGTTACTCTGAGGTTTGTCAGTAATGCTTTTGGCTTCAGTAGTGGGAGACATTGTGAGGACTAAATGACCTTCACAAATCTTTTTCCAAAATTATAGACAATTTTAAGAATTAAGGATGAGATTATTACTGATTTATTTTATAGATGCTAATCTGTCCTATAAGGTCACTCATTTGGAATCGACTTGATGACAATGGGTTTAATTTAATAATTTAGGAGCCCTAGTGGTGCAAACAGTTAAGCGCTCATCTATGAACTGCAAGTTTGGCAGTTCAAACCCACTTAGTGGCTCCATGGGAGAAACACCTGGCTATCTGCTTCTGTAAAGATTACAGCCTAGGAAACCGTCTGGAGCAGTTCTACTCTGTCACTGGGTTGCCATGAGTCGGAATCGACTCAGTAGCACTAAGAATAACGGGCAATTTCTGCAAAGGAATTCCTTTTTCTCTCCTCCTATCTATTCTCAGGAGCCTTGGTGGCACAATGGTTAAAGCGCTATGGAGCAGTTCTACTCTGACACACATCACTATGAGTTGGAATCACCTCAACAACACCTAAAAACAACAACGTGGTAATTTGGGATGCTCATCAAAAGAACGGTGTCCATTATCAAACATTTCCTCAGACGTACTGAATACAAGTGTTAGTTTAACGGGTGCCTGTTAATAGGCCCATTTGGACTATCTCTTTCTAACAGATGCATTATTTGACTCTAATTATATTTAACTTTGAATACTGCTAGGTGGATAATAATTTTCTTCCATGTTTCTTTTTTTTTCCCCCCAGAAAATCAATTATTTCACTCTCCATAGAGACTATTGAGAAAATTCAGTAGTTTAAACTTAGGATTCTGGTTGCTCCTCTTCCCTCTGCCCCCTCCCTACCTCCTACACACACACACACACACACATGCACACACACACACACGCACACACACGCACACACACACTTTCTCCCTTTCTCAAGATACGCTTTTTTTCAATGAGGATTATTTTAGGATGCTGACTAACCATCACAGATGGGTTAATGGCTTCACAGTTTTGAAGAAGAGCAAGTCCATCAACCCACCCCATAAAGAGAGTGAGCGACATGGACAGCCAACACGAAGACAACGTGCTAAGCGCACAATTGTGAATTGCACCGTCCAGTTCCCGGTTTGTTACTCACTCATACTTGTTGAACTTAGATCTTGTGCTAAATAAGTTCAGACTAGAGCAAAGACTCGTCTTTTAAGTACTTGGTCTTTGAGGCAGACCTGGGCCAGCAATCACATCATTATCAGTGTTAACGTCCAAACACCCTCTCAAACTTTATTCCAACATCTCACCCACAAAGAGGGTTCTTTCTCCTTAAGTTGATCAAGGCATTAACATCATAGATTGAGAAGCCTTTGGGTTCTCTACAAAGCCGAAACGGAAGCCTTCCAAAAACGTCAAAGCCCTCCGTTTTAAATTCCTAGATATGATGGAGAAATTCATAGGCAGCAAATTAGGTAAATAAAGAGGTAATTACAAGGGCCCGTTTCCTTGACAACCCCCCTCCCCCAGCCCTGCTGCCTTTGGGAAAAACCAAAATGAAAGTGAGGCGGGGTAGCCACCTAGCCAGACTGGGCGGTAGCAACCCTAAGCCATTGCAAGCACAGAAGGCACCAAACTCCCAACCAAAGACACATGCATCCATTTCTACCCGGGCTGCGTTTGGTCTGGTATTTTTGTGGTTGCCATAGAAACCCCAGAGACGGAAGAACATGTTGCATTACACAGAAGCGGCCGGTGTGCATGAGCAACCATCACCTAGTGCACAGAAAAGGCTTCAGCCCGCGGTGGGGAGGTAGTAAGTGCAGCCCAGCGCAGCAGCTGGAGAGCACCACGCGGCCAGGCACGCTCCCCCGGCCGAGCACAAAGCGACGGTCCCTTTGTGCCGGCAGCTCAGCCTCCTCGGCCTCCCGGGCGCCGCGCCCGCATCCTCACTGTCCCCGCGGCCGCCGCCCGCCCAGCCCCCTGCCTCTGTCCCCGGGCGCGCCTCCCCTGCCCGGCGCACCGAGCCCGGGAGAGCAGGCGAGAGACCCGAGGACTCAGCCCGGCCACGCCCGGAGCGGAGCGGCCGCCGATGGCACGGTGGCACCTACCTCGTGTCCGGCCGCCTGGACGCATGCACTTAGGAGCCGACAGGAGAGGCTGGGCCCCAAACTGCCACTAGTTTCTGGAGCTGTAAGTCAGCCAACACTGGACGGAATACGCGAGACTCCACCCACGGGGTGGGCCCTTCGGAGGGGAAAAAAGTGGTCCTCGCTGACGTCTCTCCCCGCCCATGTCACTTCCTTTTAAAGCTGCACTTTAGCAGTTACTGGGAGGGGAGAGCGAGCGGTGTAACATGAGTCACTCCTGCCCCTTCCAATTAGTGCGAGCGAGTGCTGCAGTGGACTCACGTTTGCAACCTCGGGCTCTGGAACCTGCTAGAATCCCCCACAACGCCCGCTCAGTGGCCTCTCTCCGGCCCCCGGTCCCCAGCCCTGTTGCATCCGCGGTGACACGGCTCCTCCAGCCCAAGCGCCGACCGACTCCAGCCCCGTCCGCGTGTTGACCTGGGAATCGTTCTCCAACGGCTTGGATTGAATTCAGCCAGGGGGCAACCCATTTGTTTTATAAAATCCCCGTATCCCAGCCTCCCCGCGCCTCTCCCGGGGACCCTGGTTTGGGAGGAGATCGTTTCACTCAGAAGAGCCCCAAGCACCTTCCACTAAATAACACTCCAAACTCAAGGAATCTGAGATGCTAAGGCTTGAGGTGCAAGAAGCTTGGAGGTCGGTTTATTTCCTCCATCCAACCGAGGCGCCAAGGTCGAGCGCCAGTGCACAACGTGGCACTTCCCCAGGGTGCACAGAGGTGCTGGGAGAAACCTTTACAACAAACAGTGGGGGCCCAGCTTTAAAAGGCGGTGGGCGGTGGAAACGCCAGAAATGCCAGCTTTCCAACATTTCTAGAAATTTGTTTTATTTCAAAAGAAGTAAGATGTGTTCCCTTCAAATGTTCACTATTACGCCCAGGTTCACAGATAATATTTGTGTATTTGCACATTCATTCCTGTTCTTTAGATGTTTACAATCTACAGGGGAGGAACGAAATATGTTCAAACATAATTACAACACATTGCAGAATTACTAAGAGCTCCCAAAGTGCTCAAAACAGTATGTCCTGAGGACAGAGACAATGGAAAGAGTTCTTTCAGTTGGGCTGGGGAAAAAGGCGTTTAGAATTCAGGAAATAGGGTTTGGACTGGGTGCTAAGGGTGTGTAATGAGAGAGGGGTCCTTAAAACAAAGATGGGGGGTGGGGGGATAGATGACATCTGAGGCTTCAAAAAGCCTCAGAACAGTTACACGATTTGTGGCAATGGCTTATTTTGATATCCGTGTGAAAATAAATTAGGCCATATAGTAACGGTTATAAAAGATGTTTATAAGAAGTTTCTTGTAGTCAATGCAGTTTTTAGAAGTTCTCTCTCATAACTTTTCAAATGATGTTTTAAAACCCATTTGTTTCAAGGTTTCATGGAAAATTGCAGGAGTTTTTCAAAGCACTTCTCAAGCAGAGTTAGTTTGTTTTCCATATTTAAATTCTGAATGGGAATTTTATTTCAAAATCTGAAAAATTGCATAAATTGCATAACAAAAATCCTCATAACTGGACCAATAAGCAACATCACGATAAACAGAGAAAAGATTGAGGTTATCAAGGATTTCATTTTACTTGGATCCACAATCAACGTCCATGGAAGCAGTAGTCAAAAAATAAAAAAATGCATTGCACTGGGCAAATCTGCTGCAAAAGACCTCTTTAAAGTGTGGAAAAGCAAAGATGTCACCTTGAAGACTAAGGTGTGCCTGACCCAAGCCATGATATTTTCAATCACATCATATGCATGGGAAAGCTGAACAATGAATAAGGAAGACCGAAGGAGAATCAACACCTTTGAATTGTGGTGTTGGTGAAGAGTATTGAATATACCATGGACTGCTAAAAGAATGAACAAATCTGTCTTGGAAGAAGTACAACCAGAATGTTCCTTAGAAGTAAGGATGGCGAAACTACATCTTATAGACTTTGGACATGTTGTCAGAAGGGATCAGTCCCTGGAGAAGGACATTATGCTTGATAAAGTAGAGGGTCAGCAAAAAGAGGAAGAAGACCTTCGATGAGATGGACTGACACAGTGGGTGCACAAATAGGCTCAAGCTACAACAATTGTGAGTGTAGCGCAGGACTGGGTAGTGTTTTGTTCTGTAGCACGTAGCATTGCTATGAGTCCAAACCGACTCGACAGCACCCGACAAGAACAACAAGAAAGCCTAGGATATCAATGTTTGTGCACTCCATTTCATTTTTTATTACTTCTATTTTGCTAGATTCATGCTTCATACATTCCAGGTTCCACTTGTTAATGGCTGTTTGCAGTTTTTTCTTCTCATTTTGTCGTGCCACATTAGCAGAAGAAGGTCCCAAAAGCTTGATTCCACCCACGTCATTAAGGTCAACTCTGCTTTGAGGAGGCAGCTGAGGGGCTCATCTTCCGGTACTATATCAGACAATGTTCCATTCCTATTCATAAGGTTTTCACTGGCTAATTCTTTTCAGAAGTAGACTGCTGGGTCCTCCTTCCTAGTCTGTCTTTGTCTGGAAGCTTAGCTGAAATCTATCTGCCATGGGTGACCCTGCTGGTATATGAATACCGGCAGCACAGCTTCCAGCATCACAGCAACATGCAAGCCCCCACAGTATGACAAACTGACAGATGTGTGGGGTACCTATCAACTAGTTAGAGTTTTTCCCTCTCCACCCCTCCCTTCCCTTGTAACCATCAAAGGTTGCTTCTCTCTGTGTGCACCTACCTCAGAATTCTCAACATCCCATTTCCTAGGCTTTCAGATTAAAAGACAAATCTGGAAAAGGGAACTATTGACATGAAATTGTTAAAAAGATAACTTCTTTTTAAACTCCTGATGGTATAGCATGGATGTGCTTTTAATAGCTATACTCCGTAGAATTCCATCAAGTTATTAAAAGTTCATCTATACTCTTTGCCATCTGAGTTTATCCCCAAAGAAAATTAGCCTTGGAATTTGGCAACTATTAGACCAAATCTGGCAAAAGGTGTAGGCTATCTTTTCTCCAAGACCATCCATTTTAACTTGGTGTCAAGCCAAAGCCAAGTCTAGTTCCATGAAGCTTAGCTTTGTGGCTGATTTTCGTGAGATGGCCAAAAAGGGGAGGATCTCAATTCCCCTCGTTGCTTCTGCTCTTCCCCTTCTCCCATGCAGTGCTCACCATAAGGGTCTCCTATATCCTGATAGTAAAGCCCTTCATTCTCCTTTAACTAGCTCAGATTGTTTTTGTTATTTGCAGCAAAGAGTCCTAATTCATTACTTAAGTTGTTGGAGCCTTAGCTTGCCCATACATAAAATTCATGGGGGTAGTCGTGATGCTTAAATGAGACATATATGGGAAGTGTTATGGATTGAACTGTATCCCCCCAAAATATGTGTTGTAAATCCTATCCTCTGTGCTTGTGATTATAATCGCATTGGGGAATGGATTTTCTTTGTTATGTTAATGAGGCAGGATTAGTGTAGGATGTGTCTTCAGTTAATCTCTTTTGAAATATAAAGGAGATTAAGTAAGCAAGCAATAGCAGCAGAGATGGGGGAAGAGAGATGTCAAGCCACACAAAGCAGAAGCTCGAAAGAGACAAGGGCCTTCCTCCAGAAATGACAGAGAACAAAAGCCTTCCCCTAGAGCTGGCACCCTGGGTTCAACCTTGTAGCCTCCTAAACTGTGAGGAAATAAATTTCTGTCTTTTAAAGTCCCCACTTGTAGTATTTCTGTTATAGCAGCACTAGGTAACTAAGACAGAATTGGATACTAGAAGAGTGGGTGCTGCTCTAACAGATACCTAAAACGTGGAAGTGGTTTTGGAGTTGGGTAATAGGTAGCCACTGAAAGAGTTTTAAGGTACCTAACAGGAAACCCTGGTGGCATAGTGGTTAAGAGCTACGGCTGCTAACCAAAAGGCTGGCAGTTTGAATCTACCAGGCACTCCTTGGAAACTCTATGGGGTAGTTCTACTCTGTCCTATAGGGTCGCTATGAGTTGGAATTGACTTCTTGGCAACAGGTTTAGTTTTTCCTAATAGTAAAAGTCTAGATTGCCTTGAAGAGACCATTGGTGGCATTACGCAAGTAGTAGGCAATTCTGGCGAGGGCCCAGAAGGAAGTGAGGAGAGCCTTAGGGAAAGTCTCTATGGTCTTAGAGAATACATATGGCGCCAGCAACAGAATGTTGCTAGAAATGTGGATGTTAAATGTGCTTCTGGTGAGGCTTGAAAAGCAAATGATGAACATGTGATTGGACAATGAAGGAAGGGCAATGTTTTTATGCAGTGGCAAAGAACTTGTCTGAATTATGTCCACCTGCTGGGTGGAAAGTAGAACTTGTAAATGATGAACTTGGATATCTGGCAGATATATTTTCTAAGCAAGATCTTAAAGGTGCCACGTGATTTCTTCTTGTCACTTATAGTAAAATGCGAGAGGAAACAGATTGACTTAAAAACGAGCTGTGCAAAATGAAAACAGAACTTAAAGATTTGGAAAATTCTATTGTACAAACTAAGGACATGTGTCTTAGAATTTTCACCAAGGATGTAGCTACACAATCTTTTGTTAAAGAGATTAAGCCTGTGACTGGAGGTTATAATCAACTACCTCTTAGACTGAAGGGGACAAGAAAGAAGGAAAGAATGCTGTCTGCCTCTTGGACTTCTACGGGCAGGAAACAGGCCAAAGGAGCTACTTCTGTTGTCCTCCAAGAAAAGAAAAGGACTATCCCTGGAGCAGCTCGAAAATCAACTGAACTAATGGAAAGTGCACTGGATGCAGGGCCTTCTTGGTTTCAAAGGGTGAGGTCATAGTCTCCTGGATCCCAAAGGTTGAGCCCACAGCCTCCTGGGTTTCAAAGAGTTGGATCTTTGCCAATTCAGTTCTGGAGTGTGGGGCTGCCATTAAGGAGTGCCAGGGGATGGGGCTGCCACCCTAAGCTGAGGGGGAGGGGCTATTATGCCCAAGGGGCAGAAGAACAGGGCCTGCTGGGGCCGAGGGGGTAGGGTTGTCGCTCAGATGGACTAGGAGAATGGGGCCGCCCAAAGCCAAGGGA